GCCAACAAAAGACCCTATATAATGAACGTCAAAAAGGCCTGTGGAAAGAATTGTATGGGAGAAAAAACCCACAATTCGACCCCATACAGAGACGTAATTCATCAGATGCTCATTTGACACATACATGGCATCGGGTTTCATTACATCTGTATGAAAAAGGGTCAAATATCACTTTGCGTGTGAAGGCAGGGATAAAGCACGAGAAACTGAAATACATGTACATGTATTTATCAGGCTTACAATATGGGCAAACTTGTTTTTGATTTGTCATTTAAAGCTTCGCTTTCGTTTCCAGCTGGTCCGTAAAATCCAGTAAAATTGTCTGCACCTGACGAAGTGATTGAACAAGTGGCTGGCTGGCTGACTCACTTATTGACTTTCACTCTTGATTTATCCCAACATAATATACAACATTTGCTATTTTGCTGAGATTTTCAGAAATGGATGGATTTTGGGAGTTACTGTTTTCTAGCAAATATTTTTACACTGACTTGTTTGAAGTTTAGTGTTCGCAGATGCTGGAAAACAAAGAAAAGCAATCGTGTTCCTGTAGTCTGGTTCCCTCACCCCAGTTAAAATGAAACAGAGCAGTTTATAGACGTCGGGGAATTGTAAGGTCAGGAAACCAGTCTAGCTGGCTTGTGCCCGCTCATGCGTGTGTAATCGATTGCACAAAATGCGGACTAACTAAATATAGTAAATTGGGGGCAATATTTGAAAAAAAACCCAGTTTTTTGTCCAACGCTGGTCGGCAGACACGAGTTGGAAATTGATACAAAAATACCACTTTTCTTGAAAACGACAGCATACCAGGTGCCATGATTTTACAGGATGCTTAAAACTGTCATTCACTAACAGTCCAGTAAGGTTCTTCATAATAATTTGGTAATTTTTTTTAATGTTTGCAAATGTTGTATAGGCCATTTAAGTTTCACCTCGGCACACTAGTTTGAAATATGATTACCCGTAACACAATATATATGTACTATACAAATGCGGCCCACTGTAGAGCCACATGCATGACTTTCAGTGAATGGCCAATCTGAATAAATTGAATATCATTTTGTGCGATCTGATGGTAGCATGCAGCTGTATGAGGCTTGCCTATACTTTCGTTCATTTTATTTCAAGTGGTGAACGCGGCTTACCACAATGCAGAATCGTAACCCTGTACCGTCTTACGGTTAGAAACCTTTGGATGTAATCAAACATTTCGAGGCAATGGTACATCTAATGAAATTACATTAATTAACACCGGACTAATTGAGACTGCGATACAGAAGCTATATACATTAGTGGCAGGTATGTATATCAAACATGCAGTGGACTGCTTCGATCGAATGCACCGTTAATTGTCGGTCGATATGGCACTATGGACACTAATGACATGGCTTCTTAAGTAAATAACATTACCAACATTACTCCGCGAACCAGTACGACAGAACCAATACGATAGGGCCCCTCTTATGTGTGCATTTTTAATAAGGACATTCATAGATTGGTTTTTGTTAATAATACATTTCCGAGCGTTTTTATTTAGTGAGAATCTATAAATAGTGAAGAATGAGAAGTGATTTTGCGGAATAAAAAAAAAAAAAAGACCCAGAAAGTATTTCCGTCTTTCAATCAAACCGACGTGCTAAGAATACTTCTGCTGAGAGTTTTGGTTCTTATCGTTAGGAATTCTTTTTCTCTCCAACGGCTTAGTTTGGATACCCTTTCGGCATTTTTCTTTCACCTTCAGTAAATTAAACAATGCGAACCGAGTCGATGAATGGTTTAACTACATTGTGATTTCCCCCGAAAGTTCTGAAATCCTGGGTATTGTATTGGCATCCTGTTGTGGAAGCAGCCGACCCGTTGTGCAAACGGTCCTAGTTATGTCGATACCGTTCTGTTTGTTCCGTGTTTCATTGCCATGACCAAACGGTACAGTCGAGTTTGGTCAATCAAGATTGTGTAAATAATATTATTGCACCATATCCCCACCTACCTTAATTGGATGTGGGACAATTCTCTACGCAAACTGGTCTACTTTCTGACCTCAAGTTTAACCCTAGCTCTCTACAGTGTGTGGAAAGAAACATTAAAATCGGAGGTAGACCATCTGCCACTGGTGCATTTTGTTTCGTTTAAAGCAACAAAAGTGCTCAAAATCTAAAGACGGTTGTTTAACAGCTAACCATGATGAAGCGTTAGTTCTGCGAATGCTGTATTATTTCGAGAAAACACGATACTCTGGAACTCGATTTCAATGCAAAGTTGCCGAGTCATGACAAAATACCGAAATTAGCATTCGATTCTCATGACTCTCATTCAGCTGATTGTTGCTACACGCGATGTCACGCACTGATCCGACGATTCTCAATAGATAATCGCAACCGCACGCGCGTGCGTCGTGTCAACGTGCTTGCACCCATTCACAGATTCGCTTAATTACTGTACCAACTGCCAACGGAAATTTCCAAAAATGAGTCACTTAACACATCTTTGGGAATGACCTTCTTAAGAATCACCATTTGAAATGCTTTTTTGTTGTTGATTTCTTCAAAATGACAGCTTGCCAGGGAGTTTAGTCCCCTTACTATCTTTCAACAAGTACATGTATGCCTTTCCACAATAATTACGCCAGTTACTTTTTGGATAGCTGCAAATGATGGACTCTGGCTTTAACTATTTCTTAATTTGAACTATACCCTGTTTCCACAGTATATAAGTACTGGCCCACGAGCATGTATAAGTACATTAAAACATACAGGGCCCAACGTTTCGGATACCGGCAGAACATGTCCTGTCCGATATGCCAATACATTTAATGTGAAACATACTGAGCGTGAGTTATTGATTTAAATTTTAAATTGAACAATTTGTCTCTGATGTTTACATGAATTTGACTTCGTCATTAAAATGTGTTTATCCAACGAGAAAAAAACCCTATACCAGCAGTAGTATTAACAGACATCCCATATATAAGAAATTCTAAAAACACAAATGATATGTGCGCAAGCATCAGACGAGAGAAATGAGACTCACACACTGGTCAATACTCGTTTTCACACTCAATTTCATTTTGGCAATGCATTTATAGAATACAAAAGGACAGGCTATACCAGATATTAAGTTTCAATTGAAATGTACCAAAGCAAAGGGCATGCACTGGCAAGGCATTCACACAATGCAGGATTTTTAGTGCATGTGATCCGAAGATGGCTCTCATACGAATGTTGGATTTTGGTTTTGGTTCTACAAGTAATTGCTTTTCTATCGTAGTAATTGCCAACAAACGTCCTCATGCAGAACAACCCAACTTGGTAGGAATGACTAATTTTGCTTGGGGGAAAATGACACGAAAACGATTTACTATCGTGGTTTATGTTAAACCGTTCTAGTAAATAGCTTTATGTTCTCCAATGACCCAAAGTTGCATTCCTGTGTTAATTCCAGTGTTAATTCTAACTTGATTTCTGTGTTAATTTGTCCACTATATACCACTTCGTTATCAATATGATAATCAGTCACCTTTTGAGGACATTTTGGTGAAGATGTGACACAGCGAAATACTGTAAAGTTATACAATACATATATAGTCATCAAGGACAACTTGGCTTTTTTAAAGATACCTTTATGAAGCCATTTAAAAAAATAACCTCACAGTCAGCAAAGGCTACATGTTCCAACAGATTTTCGTGCGTAGTGCCCAGACAGCTGTCGTAGCTTGTTAGACTCATTCGATGGGGTCAGAGTGCCAGGGGAAAATGCTTACATGTTCAGTACCAACATAAAGGTCTAGACAATATTTTAGCTGCACAGAAATTCGGAATTTAGTCCGTTGCATTAACGCACCATCGAGTCATATCAGTTCTTTGTGAACGCCTCGATTGATTTGAAAGAGTTTAATGTTTAACAAGATACCACAACAATATTTCACAGGTGCGGTAAATGCTGTCATTGACATTGTATATGACTACAATAAAAACATTACATTGATCAGTACGGTTTCAAGGTTACAGGTTTAAACATCCCGTCAGGTTTTACTATTTTGTATTCAAATCTGACCGTTTTTTAAAGGCGCGTAGGAACACTGTTGTTTACCAAGAAACGTTCCTATACCGAATTTATGGGGAAACCTTGCTCAAGGTGAATGTAGGGCTGGTCCTCAAATTATCCTATGAAATTATTCCGCCGGAAATGGTTTCGATCGAAAGAAAACAAACTATTGAAGGTGGGTTCAAACAAAATGAAGAGTAGCCACTAGGCTAAAACTTCAACACTTCAACAGGTTAGTTGTGATGAACCCTACTTAAAGGGCTTTTGCTGCAATTTTCAGAAATAAGTGGATTTGGAGGATTAGTATGTTATAGCAAATATTGTTAAAATGACTTGTTTCACGATTTGGGCTTGTAGATGCTGGAAAAACCAAGAAAACCAATCATATTCTTGTAGTCTGGTTCCCTGACCCCACTTAAGATGAAACAGAGCAATTTTATAAACTTTGCGGAATTGTAAGGTCAGAGAATCAGTCTAGCAGGCTTGTACCCCTTCACAGGTGTGTAATCAATTGCAAAGAAAACGCGGAATAACTACTTATGAAAATTTAGGAGCACTTTTTGAAAAAGGCCAGTTTTCTCCAACGCTGGTCGGCCGACCAGCGTTGGAAACATCCCATTTTTTCTTGAAAATGACAGCACACCCGGAGCCACGATTTTACAGAATGTTTTAGACTGTCATTCCCTAACAATCCAGTAAGGCATTTCGTGATAATTCGATCATTTCGTTTTGTGATGTTTGCAAATGTTGTATCTTCCCTTTAAGATCTCGAGCAAGTTTTGTTGCTATTTACGAAGAAAAATGAACAAATAAAAGAGCAAATGATCCTTTTTACATTTAAGAGTGTAACATTAACATGTTGGGGTTATTGGTTATGCACATTGCATTTTACACAGAGACCGCGATAAACAAAAGTACTGTTTTGTATATCAAAGGGCGTAAATTCGTCTTACCAAATAGGGCATCCAGAAGAGCATGAAGAGAGCCGATAACGTCTCGATGACCTTGGCCACTCGCCTTTCGCGGCGGTCTTGAGCAGCTGAGAGCACCCGAAGCCTCATCTGTTGACTCCTTCTGTTGTGTCTCATCAAAGAGCAAACGATGCCAGTGTTACACACGTTGAAGATGATGACACCGACGATGAAAGTCAGTCCGTAAAACGCCAGTATGTAGCTGTAATACTGGTTGCCTTTGCCCCACGTGTTCATGCAGAGGTACCAGTTTGGCAAGAGGGTGATCTCCGAGGAGAACCAGATGATGGTGACAGAGGTGCTGGCAAAGCTGAAGATGGTAAGACAAGCCAAGGCGATCTTCATCTTACGAGGAGTCACCTTGGCCCGATAGTAGAAGGGTTTCGTTAAGGCGAGGAACCGGTCTACGGTTAGTAGAATGATGGTGAAGAAGGAGGTTTTCAAGCAGGACCAGGCCATGAAGTACTGGTAGGAGCAGACTGGTGAACCGCCGACCCAGCGACCCTCTGCTAGAGAGATGACCGCTGGGGTATGCGTGGATATCACACAGAGCAAGTCGACAGCAGCCAGGCAACCAGTCAGCATGTCCGGTATGCTCTTGCGAAACCGTAGTATTCGGTGGGACACTGTCACCGATAGAATGTTCCCAATGATTGCCACGGGGCCAAGGACCACATAGTACACGGTGTTGAGAACCACAAAGTACGGGGAGAACTCGATAAAATACGTATCCACTGCCGAGGAGTTATCGGCGTCAGTGGTTGCTACAAATGCCTCCACTGTTGTCGAAATATTCTCCATCTTCAAACCGTGCTCCGGAAACTCTGGGAAGACATCAATGTCTTCGGTCGTCAGTTGGTTGAAAACTGATCCTCCCGGATTTTACACCGGATAGTCTATAACTCCACAACCGTACTCGGGTAATCCTTGCAGGTTGCCTTTATGGTTTTATTGCCCAGGTTAAGGTCACGACGGTTCAGTGTTGTTTACGGCTGTTTCCATGTGATGCGCTGCGTGAAATCACTGCGCTCGCACACATTTCAATCTACATCTCCAATGTAGTTTTTGTTCCTTCATGGTGTGAAGAGAGTCATTATCGCTTAAATTTGCCACAAATTACGACCAGTAATTACCATCGGAGTTAGAAATTGGCAACACATTAAGCCTGGAACTTGGAAGTAAGAATACTGGTATGTTTATCCCATCGATGCTTGATCGGCGGTGCAGTTGATGGTTACTATACAATCATACCTGTGTCGTGTCAGTGGCATGCATGGATGTGTTTGTACAATGATCCAAGCGACCGCAGTGTGTTGTACCATTGGGTTAAGGTTGTTCCAATTCAAACAAGTGGCATACTGACATACGCAAGATAAATAGTGACGGTACACGATGGTAGACGATCGCTGCTATAATAACGCCGAAACTCCTGGCATTCCGGACAGTACAGATCATAACACACAGGAGACGGAACATATAATGGAACCGCTGTGTGCAATACACTTTAGGCCATTGTGTGTGGTTTATTGAAAGACGTGACGTCGCCGTTTCCACCCTCTTGAATCATAATAAGCTTTTGTTCCTTCACGCTCTGATGATCCGGGCTATTCAACTTTATCCTGTTGGGACTGTGCCATAACTGGCCGGTGTAGGCTGAAATTTGGACTCAAAAGAAATACGGACTCAATGGTTGTACTGCGCATGCCTTAGCGAACACAGGACAGCGACGTTCAGTCACGTGTGAGGGTTTAGAGTGCCGCATAGTAGAAACCAGCAGATTATATAGAGGAGTCGAAACTGCATGTGACACCGGGACCGCGAACACCAACGTGGGATATTATGGACTTTTTCAATCAATTTTATTGCACATTTGCTGTGTGCGGCATGCAAATGATTTATACTACTGTATGAGGTCAAGTTGGTACTCGTCTGGTTTTCGTGGTCAGTCATGCTAATTCAGTACATGTTTTGTATCAGACTGGGTGTAATTTTCGTGGTTATTTTTCCAATTTCACCCTGGAGTGGAATTAAACCATATAGGCCTACTGTATTACCGACATGAGCTACTTTATAATGAAGAAATTACTGAAATTGCTCAATCCGTTTAAAGAATTGTCACCATTTAAACGCAATGACCCTAAAACTGTTTCGTCAAAAAAAAATCCAATTTGTTGTGTATTCTTACTGTTTGGAACAACAAAGAAAATGACACAGAATACTTGTTTCAACAACTGTCAACAACTGTAGTACACAATATCTTTATTAACAACCCCGGTTAGGCAAACATTATGATTTATCGCTGGTGATGTTTGAAGACAATTGTGACGACGATTCTTGAGGTTTTTAAGCCATTGTGTTTAAATGGTGACATTGTTTGAACGGATTGAGTAATTTCAGTAATTTTTGCATCTAAAAGTAGCTTATGAAATTGACTTTTTAGTCATTATTATTTTTGGTGCTACGAATCTTTTTAAATATGAAATATCACTTTTGGGGTTTCGGTTCCGCTTTTTCTGTTGACTCACCCTGTAGGCCCTAGTACTAGTATTTTTTTCTGTTTCTGTGATAACGTATATTATTAAAGGGCTCACGCAATGTAATTTTAATGCAATTCTTGAAAATGCACCTTTGTGTCACATTTAACCTTATTTTAAATTTTCGTTTTGCCATTTTCAAGGACATTTTGGTGCCTTTTTTGAAAATTTCCATATTCATGAGCAAAACTGTGATGTCATTCCTGACAGAAACCTCAATGTTACAGCAAAGTTCAGCACAACAGGTTGTTAGATTTTTGCCCATTTTGCAGCTGTAAATTTTCTGTTCTTTGATGATTCGTTGTTGCGTCAGTACATGGCAGGAAGCCAATGAGAAAACCTTTCTCACAAAATGTTTCAATAAACAAATGTTTGGTTCACATTCACAATTTGAACAGAAAACCCCCAACCTGAACACTGTCTTCCTGAAATGACGTCACAGCAACAGCGCCCTCGGTTGTCCGGAAAAGCATGTAAAATGATAATTGTTTAAAGAAGAGCACTTCTCAATCAAATTAACCAAAATGGATGTCAAATAGTTTTCATACATTTAAGAGGAGTAGGAAAATGTGCAAAATGTGTTTCTTAGAAATATTCAGCGCATGCTCTTTAATTTAACCGTACGTTATCAGCGGCGGATTAAAAAATGCTTGCGAGGGGGGGGGGGTGTCAAACCCGTCAAATATTTTGTCCGACGGTTGCGGACAGGCGGACATAAAGGAAAGAATTATTACTATAATTGTTATTTTTTTGGGTGTCAGAGCGGTTCGACCCCCCCCCCCCCAGATCCGCGCCTGGTTTAACTTTTCATTTGCTTTTTATGTGCCTTTAATTGTGTATAGTGACCGTTGTAGTGTTGGGCAAACGAAAAAAAAAAACCTTTTTACTATTTGAAATAAATACCCAGGCCTAATACAAATGTATTCAATAAAATGCTGTACGGATATGACCCCGATCTCACGTTTTCCAATGTACACAAACATATATCTAATTCACCTCGTTGAAAATTAATGATAACGTCCATGGAATGGTCCCATGTACTTGATTCTGTAAATAAGAATAGGTCAGTAATTAGAAAAATAATTCATATAGCTCTTTATTCAAATTGCATTCTCAATGAGGGGGCGTTTGGTTCTAGCAATGCTGTCCGGGTGACTGCACTTTTTCGGAACTTAGTCTTTTCAACAGCCCATCATTTTAACAAAGTTCCCATAAAAAACTCATTTTGTTGATTTTGCCATACTGTTTACATTATGATGCAGTTTTGTTGACTTTTCAAAATTAGATCTTTTTCAACACACGCGAGCACAAGCACTATAAACTCTGAGGTTCGAAGAGAAATGCCTTCGTATCTATTGATATTAATATTTCCCATAGCCCTATATTACTAAAGGTACCATTAGGAAGACACCTTATTGTTATTTTTTTCGATAATAGGGAGACACCGGTCATTAGGGAGACACATAACTGTCTCCCTAATGGCACAGCTCCCCTTTAGAGGCAAAATTTTATTGTCGCAATTAGGTTATATTTGTTGCTCGTGGTCTAATTAGAAAACATACCGACCCCATTCGTGGGAAAAAAGACAAGGGACGTACACGTACCTGTGAGAGTTCCGAGTGTTTTTTTTTAAACGAATTTTGATGTATAGGGATATAACGCTGGTGTCTATGGGAAGTTTTATACTGGTGTGCACCCGTAAGGATAATCACAGTCATGCACGTGACGTCCGCAGGCGCGGATCCGGGGGGGGGGGGGGAGAGATCTTTCAATTTTTTTTCTCCATAGAAATTTATTAAAAAAAAATAACGCTTACCACCCCCCTGCTCCGACTCCCAAAAACAATTTTACGGAACCAAGTGTCCGGACAAAAAAAACCCGTCTTTATTTCAGCATTACTTCGCTGATGCAAAAATCCCCCTGCAAAACTTCCTGGATCCGCCCCTGCGTCCTTTCTCTGTACAGGTAAGTCTTCCATTGTAAACAGCGCCCTCACCTAGGTCTAGTTTATTTAAACCCAGTGAAAAGTCGAGTACAAAGCGTCTAACCGTACGTACATTCGTATCGCAGAGGTTTGGAATTAATTTTCTACTACAGTGAGGGCGCTCTACACAGGGGTATGTAGACGAATTTTAACATAGGGCCGTTGGTCGAATATTGATACCAAGGGTAACTTTGGACAGCTTTTGCAACGTAATTTTGAGGATGCGCATAATGATCCATGCAAATCCCTCAATTGTCTTACTCCTCAAGAAAGAAAGTTCACTGATTCGACTGTAACTATAGAGGCAAGACGCTCAGAGTAAAATGTTTTCATTGGAATTGATCACTTTCTGCTCCAGACGTGCCTTGTTCGAAATCTTTTAATTTAATCATTTTTTCCCACAAAATCACGCATGGTTAGCGTTTCTTCGTTTATTCTTTACTTTTACACTTTTATGCTGGATTCTTAAATTCGACTTGAAATAAACGTTGAAAATAATGTGATGATTTACAACTAGCAATGGAACAATAAAAACAAGGTTTTCACTAGTTTTTCAACTAGTTTAACATCAATACAAAATGTATTTGCTAAAATGTGTTTGCAAACTATCCTGAAATGCTCTTTCTTTGAATTCCTAAAAGAATTTTAAAAAGACTTATAATCGACTTAAAGGGAATTAATATACTACATTTGCTTTTGCAACAATTTTCAAAAAGAAATGAATTTGGAGGATTAGTGTAAAGTAGACAATATTGTTAAACTAGCTTGTTTCATGTTTTGAGTTCGGAGATGCTGAAAAATTCAAGAAAACCGACCTTATTCTTGTAGTCTGGTTCTCTGACCCCACTTAAGATGAGACGTTTAGTTTAGTCGGAAAAGGGGGGTATCGTGCACCCTCGGAAATCAATTTCTAATCAACGTTTCTAGGTAAGAAAAAATGCGTAGAAAACGATTTGCTATGTTAAAAAATTCAAAAAATGTCCCACGTATTGTTTTTATGCAAATTAGTGCCGCCATTACCGAAAAATCTATTTTTAATTATATCTCAGCCAATATTGCAGATAACTGAACAAACTAGGTGTCTAAACCCATGTTTTCAAGGTCATAGATCACAATAAAACTATTCTGGAAGTGACCACATGTGTCTGTGGCATAGGAATATGCAAATTAGTGCCGCTAATACCGGAAAGTCATGTTTTTGGCATATCTCGGCCAATATAGCACATAACTACACCAGTAAGGTGTCTAAATCCATGTTTTGAGGGTCAAGTATCATTAGAAGACTATTCATGAAGTAACTATGTGTGTCTTTGGCATGAAAATATGTAAATAATAAAGTGTCGGTTTATCCGCTCTTTGATTGTTAGCCAATATCTCGGCCAATATTGCACTTAACTACACAAGTAAGGTGTCTAAACCCATGTTTTGAGGGTCAGGTATCATTAGAAGACCATTCACGAAGTAACTATGTGTGTCTTTGGCATGAAAATATGTAAATTCTAAATTGCCGGTTTATCAAAAAAATGATTTTCCGCCAAATTATATTCAATTTCAGCCAATATTACAGTTTATTTTGAATATGATGGCTTAAAATAAACTTTGATCATTATTGCTTATCAAAAACCCTTCTGTCAACATTAGCTGCAATATTGGCCGAGATATTGGCTAAAAATCAAATTTCTGATAAATCGACACTTTAGAATTTACATATTTACCTGCCAGAGACACACATAGTTACTTCGTGAATGGTTTTCTAATGATACCTGACCATCAAAACATGGGTTTAGACACCTTACTTGTGTAGTTAAGTGCAATATTGGCCGAGATATTGGCTAAAAATCAAATAGCGGATAAACCGACACTTTATTATTTACATATTTTCATGCCAAAGACACACATAGGTACTTCGTGAATGGTCTTCTAATGATACTTGACCCTCAAAACATGGGTTTAGACACCTTACTGGTGTAGTTATGTGCTATATTGGCGAGATATGCCAAAAACATGACTTTCCGGTATTTGCGGCACTAATTTGCATATTCCTATGCCACAGACACATGTGGTCACTTCCAGAATAGTTTTATTGTGATCTCCGACCTTGAAAACATGGGTTTAGACACCTAGTTTGTTCAGTTATCTGCAATATTGGCTGAGATATAGTTACAAATAGATTTTTCGGTAATGGCGGCACTAATTTGCATAAAAACAATACGTGGGACATTTTTTGAATTTTTTAACATAGCAAATCGTTTTCTACGCATTTTTTCTAACCTAGAAACGTTGATTAGAAATTGATTTCCGAGGGTGCACGATACCCCCCTTTTCCGACTGAACTAGTTGCAATTTATAGACATTGGGAATTGTTAGGTGAGAGAATCAGTGTAGAAGGCTTGTTCTCCTTCACAGATGTGTAATCAATTGCAAAGTTAATGCAGAATGACTAAAGATAAAAAAACCCTCAGTTTTCTCCAACGATGGTCGGCCGACCAGCGTTGGAAAAATACAAGTTTTCTTGAAAGTGTCAATACACACAAGGAGCCACAATTTCACAGTTTGCTTTAAACGATCATTCACTTACAGTCCAGAAATATATTTGGCTATAATTTGATCATTTCGTTTCATGATGTTTGCAAATGTTGTGTCTTCCCTTTAATTAAATTATCGAATTTTGAAAATGGTTACACACTAACGTTCATTAACCATGCGTCAAATCAAATGGAAGTTTTCCAAGTGAAAATTGACGAAAAAGTCAAAAACCTTAAATGTGAAATTTAACTATTTGTTAGAGTGGATGTTAGTGCACTTATTCTACTGTTAGTCTTAAAATCAGTCGTCCAAAGTTTCCAGTTCCTTTCTTGGTTTGCTGACCATTCCATACACTCCTGGGCATATAGACAGCTGCAGATCGTACCTGGAATAAAGAGGAACAACAAAATGCATTTAATTGCCGTGTTCATTTAGTTGTGAAAAATTCGATTTTTATGTGCTCATGTTTTGTGAAGCCAAGATGACTTATCTTACGAAATTAAAACAGAAGTTATGAACATTGTTTTGTTTAATTCCCTAAGTCTGGATAAACCGAATGGAGGGGAGCCTAGTCAAGCTGGTTCCAGAGTGCAAAAACTTTATTGAATCGATTCCAAACAATTCAATGCAAGACTTTCAAGTTCTATGCATGTGTCTTAGACAGTGCAATGGGTCAGGTTTACCCCTTTATTGGGGCCAGCAGGTAACTCAACTTTTTGGGCCTTGGCGAGACTTGAGCAAGTCTCATTCACGAGTCAGTCAGTAAGTCAGTCAGTGTGCCAGTCAGGTTCAAAAAACGGGTTCAAAAAACATGCACAGTCGACTCTCGTTATTACGAGGTTCTCCGGACCTAGTTAATCTCCTCGTATTATCCGGAAGCTCGTCTTATGCGGAAAGTCATTTTACCCACGATCTTGTGCACAAACATGCAACGCAGGTGTTTTCTTGAAATGACCCCTCGGGGACCACCAAAAAACATCAAGATGGGCTTCGATTTTTTAATTTTTTGTTTTAAAGTAAACGACGAAGAACAAAATGCAGTATGTAATGCCGTGATCCTTCGTTTCTTTAGTATTCACAATCCTATAGTAATTAACGAGCCCAGGGGCAGATATGTTGGATAAGTCAAACTTACCAGAGCTATTCGCAGGTGGAGACCTCCCAGAGCAGGACCTCACAAATCTGCAAAGTGGCTTCGTCTCTAGGAATGCCAATAACGATCTCATCTCCTCTAATAGGTGGAACGCAAATGACGAGGTTCATCCCGCCGGGGATATTGGCCGACTCGGCGCTGACGGGGGAGCCGCACCGCTCGAGTCGGTGTATTCCCCCTACAAGCACCTCTGCTCCGGCCAAACGGACATCTACAATGTATGGAAATACAAAGATTAACGTCAGCTATGGGGAAAATATTTTTTTGAATGACCAGCCATATACTGGTGTTAAGACCCTTTAAGGGAATTTGGGCAACCTCGAAGTCAGATGCCCTGAATAAAACAGACAAAACTGAATTTACAAAGAGCATTGGTTTTAGCCAGGTCCGTATTTCAAAAAGTTGCATTCATCTGTAAAATCTTACAATTACTCTCCGAGTTTAAACGTCATTAAACGATGGTCAATAATGGGAACATGTAGAGCATGACTATTTGATAGAATGACATTTTCATAATAGGCTGCATTATTTCGACCAAACTCGGCCAAGTAAACAAAAATCAGATAGAAATTCTTGAGTGATTAAAAACCCAGCAAATTCAGACAAGCTTTTATAACTTACAGCTACCATCCCGACGGTTCACAATGCCGACTTGCGCAATGCAGTGAGACTCATGAAGATGCAACTTCCACCACGGGTGCCGTTCGGTTTCTGGAAATGACGGAGAATAACAAAGCCCCGGTCAATGAATTGGCTTTAAAACGGGGAGTATTATAAAGCATGCAAGCCTATAGGTTTAGACATTTCACTGAATGTGACTTTAAATATTTCTATTGTACTGGAATAAAGTTCTTTAGATGTGCCGACGAGAATAGAATTCATATTGTCGTATTTGTTTTCGTACTAACCCTTCGCGAATTTCAAGTGTAACATGTCCAGTTTTTCCTGCATCTAAATTCTGTGGTGAAATACGTCGAATGATTCTTGACAGGCGCATGGCCACTGCAGCAATATTAGAAAGTATAAGTTGTGCCGGAGGCCTGGTGGAGAGATTGGATGAGGACAGTCGAACCAGGAATCAGGAAAAGGACTTAAAACAAGATCCTCAAGTCGGCCTGGGTGGGATTCGAACCCGGATGAAGGAGTTGAAAGGCGAGGAAAACGTTTCACCAACGTGACTGTGTGAGTGTCAGCTAAGATAAGCGACCTGCATACCTGTATGCGCGCAGGTTCCTCCGTTGATCAGGGCCGAGTTGAAATTCCCGTCCACTGCGTTACCAGAAACGTAATCTACGCCTCTGAAATTTAGAGTGGAACTCTGCTCTGTTTGAGGTTTGGCGATGTCTACCAGTGTAACAGGAGGATCTGTAAGTCATATCGAAGAAAACAAACAGAAAGAAAGGAGATATCAGAATGTATACAGATCGTTTATATGAAAACCGATTAGTTCGATTTACAGCATACACATTATGTACGAAAAAAAGGTTGATTCGTTCATGATACTCCAACCCATACTCGAACCGTGTTTCTCCTTTTCAAGGTATAATGTATAGGATTACTATATACCTACTCCTGTTTAAGTTACCTATTTACACACCTATAAAACCTAAACATGTTCTGAGGCCTTCTCACCTTGCCTGTTCGACATTATTCTGCCGTATTTTAATGCCTTTGGGGCATGTCTCATTTTTGTGAAAAACCTACACAAAGTAGTTTATTTTTTTTATTTTTTAGACCAATTCATTAAGCCAGGCGGGGGGGGGGGGGGGGGGGGGAGATCGCACCCCCTGCTCCAACACCTGGGACAGAGCCAGCTGGGGTGCGGTGTTTTTGTACACAATTCTGTAATATAATGTTCATGATCGTCGGATTTGAACAGCGCCCACATTGAAAGTATGGTACACCCACCCTGTGGGTTTTACAGGGGGTGTTCGGAGGAAAAAACCCTGTCCACATTTCAGCACTGATTTTCTGATGAAACCCCCTCCCGCAAAACTTCCTGGATCCGTCCCTGTAAACCACGCCCACTGCACACGTGACCACCACGTGCGCCTCTCCAAACTATCACGGGACGGGGCGGGGCCTAAAAGGGGTATAATTATTGTCTATTGATACTAAAATGTCGGTGGGCTCTCGCCCATGCACAACTTGAAAGCTGGAAGAACCACCCGTCTCGGGCCGTTTTGGGTAAGTTGGCGAGGGTGGCCCGTGGTGGTTTCGAAAGCGTTTGACTCAATATCGGTGGGTACTTACCATGTTCAACTGGTGAGAGCACCTTTCCATCCTGAGGTTGGCGCTTTGACTCTATGACAACAAAACAAGATTGGTTTTAAAAGGTTAGCACAAGAAATATTAAGTTGCTCTGCCCAATAAAAACCCACGTATTTAAATATTTTAATCGCAAACCAAAGGTTAGATCATAACGAACACTTTATTTTGCTGTCCGACGACAAGGCGGATCCGTTTATTGGATACAGATGCAAAGAAAAATGCAAAGTATTTTTTTTTGGAACAGAAGAAAACATTAAAAATTTGCCAGGAGAAAACAACTGAATTCATTGAAGAATAATCGGAGGGCAACTTCATTGTATTTTTTATATGTATTTTTTATATGCACTTTTGAAAATATTCCAGTTCATTTCTATTCCCGTTTTTATTCACTACTTTTCGATTGGGTTATTTGATTTATTTCACAACTTATAAGCCCGCCGCGCCCGAGAGCTGCATGCTGAGCAGAAAGTCATTTGAGGCCGTTTGCTCAGCACGTATCTCACCGTGTGCATTGAACTTTTGCTGAGTTTTCTGCCTAGCTAGGCCTCGAGACAAATATCTCCCCTGTTTGATTTGTTTCACCTCGCGAGGCGAAAAAAAACTCACCGTGTACGGTCAACCTGCTGCATGCTGAGCTGGATAGATTAACTAGCCAATGAAATCATTTTAAAATAGTTTTGTGCAAATCGTCTAAAGCCTGCTGGCGTTTGGCCCCATTTTTGTTTTTTTTATAAATCGCGCCGCCGACAAACAAGAATAACGTGCTTTCATTGGTTAGTTAATCTTTTTAGCTCCGCATTTAGCTCAGGTTGACCGCACACGGGAGTGTTTTTCGCCTCACGAGGCCAAAGAAATCAAACAGGGTAGATATTTGCCTCACGGCAGCGTTAGGAAGAAAACTCGGTAAAAATTCACCGCACACGGTGAACTGCGTGCTGAGCAAAGGGCCTCGAATGACTGTTTGCTCAGCACGTAGCTCTCGCGAACGGCGTGCTTTTCCGACGTAGAACAGTTTAGTCTGTAAATAGAAAAGAAAGAAAGATTAAACCACTTTTGAAATCCTGCCCCTTGATTTGGGCTTCCATCACACGACACATACCTCCCTCGGGTTCAGTCTCGTCCTGCATGAACTTTCTTTCCAAAGCGCGCTCTAACAGCTCCAAGTCACGGGTAAGTTCCTCCTTGAAAATGGGAAAAAAAATTAAAAACATAACGACTCCGTAATATTTATTTATATCATTCTATAAAAGCACTTAAAAAGAAATAAGAGTTTCTCAAATGTTTGAGGCTCTAAAATGAGCATGCCTAACTTCTATATGGTTTGAATACAATTTAGCCCCATAAACTTTGCCAATTTACTGGACTACCTCCGTAAATAAAGGTCACACTTGGAACATGTACCCGAAAATATAGAACTTTGTCAAATTTGGATTTGCACATTATTTTTCTTTTACTTTGTTTGTAGTTTATTTACGCTTTGGAAGCATACTCACCCTCTTTATAGCAATAGAAAATTAGTCCCACCTTTTTCAGACAACTACTTTTCGTGTAATTTCATTTTGGAATTTAGATACGCAAACGTGTGCAAACGAACCTGGATGTTACACGAAATATAGATGTCTGAAAGGGGGGGCGGGGGACTAATTTTCTATCGCTTTAAAGAGGGTGAGTGTACTTCTAAAGCGTAAATATACTACAAAAAAGTCTAAATAGGAAAATAACAACTTACAAAGTTCTACATTTTCGGGTACATGTTCCAAGTGTGGCCTTTATTTACGGTGGTAGTCCGGTAAATTATCCACATTTATGGGGCTAAATAAAGGTATACTCAAATTTGATTTGTTTTCAGCATTTTAACTTTTCTGGTATCTTCTCATGAAAGCACGAGTCAAGGAACACTTACAGAAATCGCCAATTTTTAAGTCTGAACTATAATTGTTTAGAAATATTAAGGCAGAATATGTAAGCAGAAGTCGTTTTAAGACTGTATAGCCAGTTGGGAGGACAACTAAACGTTAATTAAACAAATAGATTGACTCGAGCGACGTTCGAGTTGGTATCCCGCGTTCTAATCAACTGGGTTCAATTTAATCGGACCATGGCGGCTCACTGTCCTAGATTTATGCAAGTCAACTTTTGTCAAACACCAGTCCGAAAATGCACGTTTAGGAATTTGGATTTAAGGTCTCAAATTTCGCAGGTGACATGCTTGCAACTGAAGCATTTTGATGTATGTGTTGTGTGGGCATTAATTTAAGGCAAGTTTTTGGCAGTTCAAAAACCATCCACGTCAATCTCCATGCTCTGGAAATGGTTGTGTGATTCCCAAGGTATTCTTGGTAGGTGTAGGAAGAGCCCAGACTGGGACCGTGAGTGCATAAAAACGTGCAAAATTACTACTGACCTTTTTTTACTCACCATCAGGCTAATTAATGCCCACACAACACATACATCAAAATGATATAGTTGCAAGCATGTCACATGCGAAATTTGAGACCTTAAATCCAATTTTAAGGCAAGTTTTTGGCAGTTCAAAAACCATCCACGTCAATCTCCATGCTCTGGAAATGGGTGTGTGATTCCCAATGTATTCTGGGTAGGTGTAGGAAAAGCCTTGCAGCTTACTTGTTTTTTAATCGATGGCCAAATGAACATAGCGCCCTCTGTTAAAAAATGAAACATTTTGCATTTACTCAGATCAACAAGAGGGCGCTGTTTTATCTACACGATGAAAATGTTATAGCTGAGGAGTCTTTTTGCACAATGCATTGCAGTACACATCAACATGATGTCTCACGTTTGGATTTCGATAACTCTCTGTAAAATTAGATTTAAAAGCTGAATTTTTGGTGATGCAATGCTCACAACAGCAACTTTACGAGGCAAAAGTTTCGGGGATTATTGAAGAAACTGTAGTGAGTAAGAAGCTTGCAAATTTGATTCACACTGGTTTTATTATGCAGCACAAACTTTTGCACGATATGGATACCTTAAGTTTTGGGACTCTCATACACAGTATTGAGAGTCCCAAATTTTCGGACTAGGAAGAGCCTTGCAGCTTACTTGTTTTTTAATCGATGGCCAAATGAACATAGCGCCCTCTGTTAAAAAATGAAGCATTCTGCATTCACTCAGATCAACAAGAGGGCGCTGTTTTATCTACACGATGAAAATGTTTTAGCTGAGGAGTTTTTTTGCACAATGCATTGCAGTACACATCAACGTGATGTTTTGCGTTTGGATTTCGATAACTCCCTGCAAAATTAGAATTAAAAGCTGAATTTGTGGTGATGCAATACTCACAACAGCAACTTTGCGAGGCAGAAGTTTGGGGGATTATTGAAGAAACTGTAGTGAGTAAGAAGCTTGCAAATTTGATTCACACTGGTATTAAAATGCAGCACAAACGTTTGCACGATATGGATACCTTAAGTTTTGGGACTCTCATACACAATATTGAGAGTCCCAAAATTTCGGACTACGTATGACCATGGATGAAAAATTTAACACACATTAATGCTTCTACAAAAATCGTTAGTTACCGACATATATATACGTCTTGAAAAGAGTCTGCGTCTTATATCGTTATGAACACCAGTAACACTTGTTCTCATATTTTCCGGTTCCTCTTAATTTCAGTGGGGGTATCGAAGACTTCCAAGTCAACTGCATTTACAAATCCTTAGTAGAGGGTTTTGTCCGACTTGTTCTGGTTTATTTTTCTGGGCAACAAAACTAAAAAGCCTACCTCGGTATTGGCATTCTGAGGAAATGCAAAGACAGCATGGCACAGCGCCAGAGTAAGAAGCAAAAGACGTAACATTCTTGCTGCTGAAGGTAGTTGTACAACAAGGCGTGGTCAGTCGGTCGAGTCTGGTGTTTCCCGTGTGTGTCGATGGCGAACGTTGATTGGAATGGAAGAAGGGGCCAATGTCCGTGTATTTATATGGGCATTGGTGCGCCAACTTCTTTAATAGATTGGCGTGGGTTATCATAATAGACTGAACGATCACGGGATCTAATCTCTTACAATCTCCCAATTCAAAGAAAAAGAATGCCATTCCTGCCAGTAAGCCCCTACATAAAGCACCTTCGCTGAATGCTCACCAGTGATTTAAAGGAATTACACTGGCCCAAACTCGTAGTAAAACGGGTGGGAGAAAAAAATCTACACAAGTAGTGCTTTATTATGAATGGGAGGGTGTCACGTGATTCCTCATTTCGGTAATAGTTCGGCAGAATCTCAATCAAACTTCGTTTCTCTCGTTTAAAAAGCCTTTTCAGAGTTCCAACTGCGCATTCATAACCTGTAACAACGCGCATCGTTGGTCTCAAATGGCCTTTGACATCATGGCGCCACTGACTTTACAAAAAGGCTGTTTGTGCATTGTGGGTACTGTCAAAGGGCATTTGAGACAAACATTGTGCGTTGTCACAGGTTACGAATGCGCGCAGTTGGAACTCCGAAAAGGCTTATTGGGAGATTCTACCTCACCATTACCTCAATTCGGATCACGTGAGACTTTAAAGCGGGACAGTGTAATAAAAAGTACAAATCCCTCAAAAACTGTGCAGTTACAGCAAACACAAAAATAACAGACAGGAGAAAGTAAATCATTCTACTCAATGGAATACCTGCAGAAGACAGAAATTATTCATTTTTTGAATCTGCACATTTGTATTTAAATTCATCGTATACAAAAAAAGGTAGCAATTAAGCTGACACTTCGATCAAGAAATCAAGGTAACATGTGATCTACATGTACATGTATAAACTTATTTAGTACATTATTGTCAATTTTCTTTTGACTACTATCATCTTTTAACCTCCTGATAAGAGTGAGAAAGAACCTTACAAGTTCTATATCAATGCATTTATTACTGCAGTTACTACATAAGCAAACAATGAAATGATTACTAATACATCACTACTCAAGTAAAGATAATTTGAGGTTGTCTTTACCTCAGAAAATTATTATTTCTGTTAGGAAAAACTGTAATAGCACAAATACATGTACTTCTTGTTTAACCCTGACTTGGCAACTTAATTTGAAAAATCCTCAAAATATTGCCAAAATTAATGAAACTATTTCTTACTCAACACCGCCTCAGCAAAAATAGTTTGAGGATGTTTAGGAGTAAGAATATTATCACACCTATTATATAATTTAGCAAATGTTGCTGAATTAGTCCATCCAGCTGTCTGCAAAATTACATCTTTTGGAGTCCCTTTACTTGCTGCTGCTGAAGTTGATGCAGCTCTACAACTGTGTGACTTAAAAATTGTAACATCAACACCAGATTCAGTTAAACATTGTTTTAACCATCTAGATATTGTGGATGTGCCTATCTCCTTATAGGGAGCCGTGTAGCTCAGAAAAAGTCTGGCTTTATTGTAACGAAACGGTTTTGTCCGTTTAAGATATTCTAAAAGTGCACGCAAGACACAGACAGTTTTGTCATTGGGATAAGCTGACAAGACAATAACTGGTTGTGGTTTCCCTATTCTGGAAGTTTTAACCTACTCAGTGATATTAATTGTCACCTGTTTGTCTGCGACCTTCATGTTTGTTACATTGAATAAAGACAATGTTTGGGCTCGTTGGCCAGTAGTAAGTGCACACAAACATATGAGTTTATGAGTCAGTTGTTTTAGACTAATAAAGTTAATTGGTTCTAAACTCCCCACATAGCGAAGGAGTGTTTCAACATCCCAAGTTTGGGAGTAACGGGGAAGTTGTGGTCTTATGTTAAACAAGCCTCTCATGAACCGGGTTGTCAGTGGATGACTTCCAAAATTCTTGTTTGTGGTTGGCCAGAGTAAAGATGAGAGGGCACTTCTTGCCGTGTTAACTGTACTGTACTCCGCACCATCATGGACTAACTTGGTAAGGAGGTCCAAAGCTGTACTCACAGTTGCATGAATGGGATCAATCGACCGTTCAGAGCAGAAACGCAACCATTTGGTAAATACAGATGAGTAATGTCTCTGTGTACTCTGTTTCCATGAGTGAAGGATGACGTCAACAGTTTCTGCTGAAAGACCTTTTAAGGTGAAAGCTCGCCTGATAAGAGAGCAGCACACATTGTCATCTGACCTTCCAAGGGGTGATGTTGATGTGGAGCATGTGGGAGTGACAGCAACTTGTTGGTCTTTGGCAACTAGCAGGAAATGCTGGGTAACTAGTGCTGAGTTTGCCATATTGGAAACACCAAGATTCCTGTTGATCTGTCCAGTTCTATCTTGTGCAAAACTCTGTCATTTACCGCACAAGGAGGAAAAGCATAAACTATTTCATTTGACCATGACACTGAAGAAGCATCACATTCTTTTGCCTCAGGATCAGGAAACCATGACACGAATGGATTTAATTGATAATTAATTCTTGATGCAAACAGATCAACACTGGGTCTAATGTTAAAATGAGCTAAGATCTCGTGAAAGGTTTGGGAATTGAACTCCCATTCAAGATGGTCACTGAATGTTCGTGAAAAGGAATCTGCACAAGTATTATGAATGCCAGGAATGTGGCGCGCTATCAACCAAACCTTGTTTTGTATGCACCAAAACCATAAGCGTCTTGCCAAACTATTTACATGTAGTTCCTCTGAATGGCAACCTCCCATGTGATTTATGTATGCCACAGCTGTGGCATTATCCAACATGAAAGATATTGTTTTGTTCTGAACATGATCGATAAATGACATTAATGCATGCATAACTGCCAGCAGCTCAAGATAGTTTATATGGAATGTTATTTCACTTGAATTCCATGACCATTAGTGTGCATGTTTGCCTTAGGGTATGACGCTCCCCATCCTTCAGAGGATGCACCAGTATAGATCTCAATATCTGCAACACGAGGTAATATTTGCCGATAGTTGGATGGTAACTTTTTTATCCACCACTGCAAGTCTGATTTTGCTTCTTCAGTTAGATGCATTTTAGAATGATAATTTCCATCGTGTATTTTCAAAGCACAGTCTTTTCACTCTGTATCTTGCCCCGAGCAAGAGCATTGATAGTTTTTGCCAACTGTTCATTAAGGGCCGGACTTTCTTTGTCTTTGCCCTCAACTAGTGCCACCATTTCGGTCAGCAATTCATCTTCGGCCTTAGTTTGGCCACTGGCTAGCAGGTTGTCTAAATCACACTCGGTGAATGCGTCTTCGGCCTTGTCAGGTGTGCTTGTTACTGTTTTTCTGTCGCCCTTTTCAGGTGCGAGACCAGTTAAGACGGCGTCAAGATCGTCGTCACTGTCATATATTTCGCCCTCGCTAGCTACATCATTAGCAAACTTAGAGGCTCGCAGAAGCTGGCTGATTTTGCCGCGAAACCGCTTCAGTTAGAGAAGCCACGGTTTGTTGCAAGAAAACGACCATATCGCGCAAATCGCTGTCATTTTTCTTAGCTTTGCATGCAATCGCGTCCTGCCCTGTGTTCTTACGCTTAGTGGAGCGCTTCTTAGCCGGCGTCTGAACCGGAGGTGGCTTGCTTGAGCTCGCCGGAGTTGCGCTAGTAGAAGGCAAACCTGAAAGTTCGCTGTCTAATTGCTCAAAGCGTGCTTCATCTTCTGAAGGATTAATGTGCAATACTGCTTCGATAGTGTAACCAGGTCGGGTTTCAGTACTTACTTTTACCCGACAGGTTCCTTACTCCAGCATTCGTTTCATAACTTTTGTATAACTTCGTGTTTATGTCATTTTACATGCGAGTAGCCATTGCGATAATGCTTTTTGACTAGCACCCTCTCGCGGCCAACTAAACTTTTTTTAACAGCGCGCGCCGCCTAGAATTTGGCTCAACTATGCGATGGGCGTAGCGAGCATGCGAGTTTTGCATTCCACCGCGCTTTGTTTAAGAGGAATAGCTGATATTCCGGGCGTTTCGGCATATTTTTCTTGTAGGGCTAGGTCCAAAATAACTTTGATTTCGATCCAACACCTTGTTACACTAGTATGATCCATATTACAAGAAATGTAAGCTGGCCACAAACGTGGTCCGAGCAAGGTGTGGCAATAATTGGCTATAGCGCCAAAACGTTATAGCGGTGGCACGCTGCGATGCTCGCGCAAGAGCCACTGAAAATACACTGGTGAGCATGTTGTTGTTGATGTGATGTAATGGCAAGTTCGGCAAACTAGTGCCCTTTGTGCCCAAACTGGTAAGCATTCAGCGAGGGTGCCTTTATATAACGGCTTACTGGCAGGAATGGCATTCTTTTTCTTTGAATGTGTGGCATACCTTAGCTACTGGACAATACAATCTCATGTGAATGGTGAGGTAGAATCTAGGCTTAACGTACGCTCCAAAATATCTTTGGTTTAGCCACAGAAAAAACCTGCTTGTGCCCAAGGCTTTCTTGCATGCCAGAAAGGTAGACCGTCTTGTCGAAACCGGATTATTATAATTTGCCTTTCTGTCTTCTGAGAAGACGATTGGCCACTTTGACAATTACAGCGTCAAAAACGTCTGATCTGCTTTGTTGGAAAACAAGCTCGATCGAATCTCGGAAGCTGCGCAGCAAAGAGGTCACCATGCATCTGTATAATTTTTGAACATGCCTGCCAACATGTTGACAGCGCTACTTTTGTCATTTGAGCTTATTTGAAATTTGACGTCATTGTGACTTTGACCTCATGATGACCTTTGACCCAAGTTTGGTAGTGCAACATGTTGGGGCTGGGCTGCTGATACTTTTGACGACGTTTGGTTGAAATCGGTCAAGAAATGTAGGGGCAATAGACAAGTCAATGTTTGTTTGTAACTAACCAACGAACAGATTAACGGAGAGACATGATTTTGTAAATTGTAGAGCTGCTACCGGCAGCTAAAAAAAGTAAAAGAGAGCAGATTATTTTGCTTTCAACGTTCGATCAGTTTTTCAGGCGGCAGTATTGAAAGCGGAATTTGGAAATTGTTGTATTTGCCTGGACTGTACCGTGAGG